GGGAAAGACTTATTTATAAATACAGTTCTTGTTAGACAACAAAGTGCTCCTATAGAAAGGATACCCAATATATATTATACTTCTGGGGGAGATTTTAAACAGAATTTTGATCTAATGAGATGTTTCCAGATTTACCCAGGAGAAAAAGCTCATATTTACAGTGAATGTGGAAAAAGCTTCAACCAGAGTCTACATCTTACTGAACACCAGAGAATTCATACTGGTGAGAAACCTTACAAATGTAACGAGTGTGGGAAAACCTTCAGCCACAGATCATCCCTTCTTGCCCATCAGAGAATTCATACTGGAGAGAAACCTTACAAATGTAATGAATGTGAGAAAGCATTTAGCAGTAGTTCAACCCTTATCAAACATCTAAGAGTGCATACTGGAGAGAAACCCTATCAGTGCAAGGAATGTGGTAAAGCCTTTAGCCAGTGTTCAGCCCTCACTGTACATCAGAGAATTCATACTGGAGAGAAACTCTATAAATGTGGAGAATGTGAGAAGGCCTTCAATTGTAGAGCAAAACTTCATAGACATCAAAGAATCCATACAGGTGAGAAACCCTACAAATGTAGTGAATGTGGGAAAAGTTACAGCCAGTTTACATCCCTGGCTGAACATCAGAGGCTTCATACTGGAGAACAACTGTGTAAATGCTTGGAATGTGGGAGAAACTTCACTCGCATCTCAACCCTTATTGAACATCAGCAGATTCATACTGGACAAAAACCATATCAATGTAATGAATGTGGGAAAGCCTTCAACCAGTATTCATCCTTTAATGAACATCAGAAAATTCACACTGGGGAAAAACTTTACACATGTGGAGAATGTGGGAAAGCCCTTCGTTGCAAATCTAACCTTTATAGGCATCAGAGAATTCATACTGGAGAGAAACCCTATCAGTGTAATCAGTGTGGAAAAACTTTCAGCCAGTATTCATTCCTAACTGAACATGAGAGAATCCATACTGGAGAGAAACTCTATAAATGTATGGAATGTGGGAAAGCCTACAGTTACAGATCAAACCTTTGTAGACACAAAAAAGTTCACAATAAAGAAAAACTCTATAAATGGAAGGAATATGGGATCAGAGAATTTCTTAGAGGAGATAAGCCCTGTGAGGTTTAATTCATCTCTCAAATAATTTAAGATTTCTCATTGGAGAATAATCAGGAGAATAATAAATAGGGCACAGACTTCTGATAGATCAAGTCTTTTTTTTTTTTTCTTCTTCTGGAGAAAATAGTTACCATTAAGTAATGGTAAAATTAATCAACGAATATTAAGAGCACTGACTTGTCAAATTTTATAAGAACCAGTAAATTCTAAGGTTTCTAAAAACATAAAAATTTTAAATTTATAGAAAAATGTAAAAATCCTAAGTTTTAAAAAAATGAAAATAATGGAATATAAGTTTTATTTCCTTCGTTAGATTTTATTCCCTTTCTAACAGTAAGCTTCAATATGAATTTTCTTTTAAAAACAGTCATTGAGTTATTAATAACGTGAATAAGTATGGAGCCTTATTTTCTAAAATGGCAGACAGACATAGGACATGCTTTCTTTCATAAAGAGAAGCTAAAGATAGAAAGGAATTCTTTAAATTTAGATTTTCACATGGAAATAATCAAGCTCACTTTTTATGAACTGCCTCACCAGTAATTTATACTTATATACACATAAATGTGTATGTATGCATGTGTATATATACACACACAGAACTTTGGATTATATGTATATTTTTCCCAAAAGTCTTTGATGATTAAAAAATGTGGTTTTATTAATTTAGAATTTAGTTTTGAAAATTAAAAATTTGCCCAGTGGTGTCTCTTCCTTTTCCTTATATTATTTCTTATATGATATGATTGCTGAATAGTCTTTAGAAGTTGGAGTAAACTGAAAGAAATGGAGAGACTGTCATGAAAATACTCTCTTGTAGGTTGCAGAAGGGATATATTTCCAGAATCTGATTATACACCTGGTAGCTTATTAGAGCCAGGAGAGATTTTAATTTAGCTTATTTATAGCCTTTCATTTTACTAATGAAAAAATTGAGCTTATTGAGTAGCATTAAGACTAGAATCTAGGTCTTCAGTTTTCTTTGGTAATTTTACGTTCATTTCCAACCTCAAGTCCCAAGAGTCCAAGTCCCAAAGCTATTTGTTTTGTAAACCGGTTAGGCACAATTGCATTAATTTAATCAGTTTTATTTTTATGTTTGACAAGTTTCCCCTGACTTTAATCTTAATAATTGACTTAAAATCATGTTTTTCTTTTTTATTATATGTCCCTAATTATACCTGCTTTTTTAGTAACTGTACATAAATCCTGAAACCCAGCTGAGGTACGGATGGTGAAATTACATTTGGGCGTTTCACATACAAGATTGCCTTTTTGTTTATTTTTGTTTACACATCTTTTAGGACTTCTTTTGTGTAAAGTGATACATGAATATTTTATTATTAAACATTCTAATCATCAGTTAAAACTGGTTATACAAACATTTTCCATGTTTTTAAGAAAGATTTCATTTTCCCCGGGCCTAACTCCTCCAATTTTAAATTTTACTTTTACAATTGGTATCATTCAAAAAATTGTTCTAGTAAAATTATCTAGAACTCTATCTGAGAAAGGTTTTAGAATTAAACTCAAGCATTCAGCATTTGACTTGTCTTAGCTCATTAGAAAGTGTTTTCTTGGGAATTCCCTGGTGGTCCAGTGGTTAGGAGTCAGTGCTTTCACTGCCAGGGCCCTGGTTCCATCCCTGGTCAGGGAACTAAGATCCCGCAAGCTCCATGACACAGGCAAAAAAAGTGTTTTTTTTAATATATTTAAGTATATTTATAAGGAAAATGAGTTTGAACCCCAGTTTTTAACATCATACAGAGCCATTTGCAAGATATTCTAGATAAAAACATTTGATTACCCAATAGCAGTGACCAAACTTAGTACAAAGATTTTGGTTTCTAAATGCCATTTCCCACTAAAAGGACCTAGGGCTCCTGATTCCATATTTGGAGCATGGAAAATGTAAGGTATGCCTGGAATATTTTTTAATGAAACAAAGCACTCAGAGACTAATGGGATAATGTCAGAAGGACCTGGGGGACAATTTAAAGGAGCTTCCACAGGTCAAATTTAGGACAATTTAAACATCAAAAAGAATAATCACAGTAATTGGTTATAACATGCTAAGTAAAATAAAATGAGCCTATAATGAAAAAATAGAGAAAAGCTCTTTATGTACTTATTTGAAGAATGTTGTCATTCATTGTACATGGAGTGATAGATTTAGAAAAATCACCATCTTACAATGCTTAATGTAATTAAATCAGGCATGTTCAATGGATGGGGAAACCCTATTAGGTGAAAAAATATTAACAAACATTATTTACATGATGTCAAAAGATCACAGATACCAATTGCAAAGGAAAGATATGCCTTTATAATGGAGAGATCTGGCTGTCAAACTGAATTTCTCTACTAGTGGGACAACCTGACATGTGACTCATGACAAGATGCAGTATGAAATACACATGATCATTGTGATGTATTCTTGCCAAAAAAATTTTGATGAAAATCTAATTAAATCTGTTATCTAGACTGATCTTCCTGTTCACAAGAAATACAAGGAATAGAGGAACAAGTTGAATTACATAGTAAGGAATTAAACCCAGAATGTGAGTTACAATACATGACAGCTTGTCTGGACTTTTCAAAAAGCCAATGTAATAAAACAAAAAATGGAGTCTTCTAGATTAAGACACTCGAGATATAACCAACTGTAAGGTGTGATTCTTACTTGGGATATGATTCAGAAAAATAAAAAAAACTGCAAGGACATTTGGGGGGACACTTGGGGAAATACGAGGGTAGAATTGGTATTAGATAATGTGGTATGTTTAATTTTCCTAGGTATAATGGGGGTATTGAGGTATAAAGGACAATATCCTTATTCTTAGGAGATGCATGCAAAAGTTTTCAAGTTTGAAGAGTCATGATGTTTGCAGCATATTTTCAAGTAAATATGTCAAGAATTAGTCAACTGTTGTTGACTTTGTGGAGGATATAGTTATGTTCATTGGTCATTCTCTAAACTTTTCTGTATGTTAAAATTTTAATAAAAAATTGAGGCAAAATGTGATTGGAAAAGTGATGAATATGAAACTTCCAGTCAATATTCTTCCTTTGTACTTATAAATTTCCTGTTTATCCCATATGGATATAATCATTGGAAATAACTTCGGTTGGTTCTGATTCCACCTTATGGAATAAGCACACACCACCTTATATCTCCCACTAAATCTGACTAAAAATCCTAGAGAATGCATGGAGCTGCTGCCTGAGGATCCTGAAAAGTAATGGTAGCAGGCAGATTTGGGAAGGAAACCAGATTTTGAAATAAAGCCAATCTGGCACTCCCAGACATTCCTGTGGTGAGGACACTGGTGGTTGAACAGACATCTAAACCACTGAGAGAGGAGAACCCTTATCTCTGGTCAGAGGAACTGTGGGCCAAAAGGTTGGAAGAATCCCCACTGCTTTTCTTCTCTCACTATCTTTTTGCTACTTGGACCTGGAGGTAGATATATCCATTAGGTGTGTACCAGAGAGGAGAACCTAAAGCCTTGGTATTTTAACCAGAAGACCGGGAATAGAAGTGGCCCCTGGGAGCTGGAATGTGTCAGGGTGGTGACAGAAAAGAAAGGAAAGCCATCTCATAAAGTTGTGTATATAATCCCAGACTCACCCCTGATCTGGACCCAGAGTCTCATTCAAAATGCACAGGATATAATGCAGAATTGCACAAAATATAAAAATCAGGAAAACTGCAACAATTCATAAGGAAAAAGAAAACAGGCACTGCCCCAAGATGACACAAATGTTGAAATTATAAAGTAGGTGTTATAAAAATGTTTCCAAAAATGTTAGCATTCTTGAATGGAAACTTCAAAATTCTCAACAGGAAAATAATATATTAAAAGGAACCAAATGGAAATTTTAGAACTGATACAGTCACAAAATTTACCAAAAAAAAAAAAATATATATATATATATATATATCTTTGGAAGGACTTAGTAGCAGAATAGAGATGACAGGGAAAAGAGTCAGTAAACTGAAGATAGGTTGACATATATACAAACTGAACTAGAAAGAGAAAAAATACATGATCATATCAATTGATGCAGAAAAAAATTTTGACAAAATTATCCATTTATCATAAAAACTCAGAAAATTGCAAATAAAAAGAGAAATTAACCTAATAAAAGACATCTACCAAAAACTCACAACTAACATCATGCTTAATGGTGATCAAGTGAATGAGGTTAAGATCAGGAACAAGTCATGATGTCCACTCTGAACACTCCTAACTGACTTCATACTGGAAGTCCTTGTAATGCAATCAGGCAAAAAAAAAAAAAAAAAAAAAAAGGCATTCAGTTTATAAAGGAAGAAATTAAATGGCCTCTATTAAAAGATGACATGATTGTCCCAAGGAATCAACAAGAAAAGCTCTTAGAACTAATGAGTTTAACAATGTCACAAGATACTAGATTAACATGTAAAAATTTTTGTATTTGTGTACTAGCAATGAACAATTAGAAAATGAATTTAAACAAGATACTGCATTTGCAGTAACTCTGAAAGGAAAAAAGTGGAAAGTAAAGAAATATTGTACATAGATAAAAATACTGCAAACTACAAAATGTTGATGAATGACAAAGATCTAAATAAATGGAGAGACATACCATGTTTACAAGTTGGAAGACAATATAGTTAGTATGGCAGTTTTCATCAATTTATTCTACAGATTTAACACAATTTGAATAAAAATTTCAGTAGAATTTTTTTGTAGATATAGACAAGCTGATTCTAAAATTTAAGTGGAGAGGCAAAGTAGGGTAGCCAAAACAATTTTGAAAAAGCAGAATAAAGTTGAAGGACTCAAAATACTCAACTTTAAGTCTTACTACAAAGCTACAGTAATAAAGACAATGATATTGGTGAAAGAATAGACATGTAGATTAATGGGACAGAAAGAGGGTCCAGAAATAGACTGGTTAAACAGACTGTGGTACATCCATATATTAGAATACCACTTAGCAATAAAAAGGTAAGAATTGTT